TTTAACTCACCTGAGCTGAAAGCTCAAGTGAACTTTTCTGATCACATTTTGTCTGGCGTCCGTCCGTCTAGCTGTCTGTCCGTCTGTCTGTAATCTTTTCACATTTTCGACTTCTTCTCCAGAACCATTGGCCAATTTCAACCAAACTTGCCACAAAGCATCTAAGGATGATAGAATTCAAGTTTGTTCAAATGATGGGCCACACCCTTATTGTATCTTGTATCTTTTTGTAATTGATGTATAGAGGGCCCTGGGGAAGAATAGTGCATGCACTAACCAGGTTACCTTCTTTAAATAAAGTTTTATTATTATTATTATTATTATTATTCAAGGGGAGATAATTCAGAAAAAGTGAAAATTTGGTGGCATGTTTTAAAATCTTCTCCTCAGGAACAACTATGCCAGGAAAGCTGAAACTTATGGGGAAACATCCTCAGGTAATGTGGATTCAAATTTGTTTAAATCATGACCCCTGGGGTTAGGGCGAGGCCACAATGGCCGATCAAAGTTATACATAGAAATACATAGAAAAAATCTTTAAAAATCTTCTTCTCAAGAATAGCAAAACCATGATTAGTCATATTTATATGGAAGCATCCTCAGGTAGTGTAGATTCAATTTTTTTTTTTAAATCATGACCCCGGGGGTAGGGCTGGGCCAAAATGGCCGATCTAGGTTTAAGCTAAGCCATGATTGGTCATATTTTAGTGGGGCGGGGGGGGGGGGCACAATATAAGTTCAAATGTAAAGGGCAATAAACCACAGGTAGTCAAAGAAATATGCAAGCATCCTTAGTTAATGTAGATTCAAGTTTGTTCAAATCATACCATCTTCCCTTTAAGGATTGGTTGGGACCACTTTTGGGTTTAAACTTTTCAATGATAAACTGATTTCTGCTTTTTTCTTAGACACAGTGCTTAAGTGAGCGATGTGGCCCATGGGACTCTTTGAATTCATTGAGGTAAATCGTATCGACGTACTGTCGTATGAATGGAATTAATATTGTTAATTGATTATATGTCGTCAACATATCTGCGAGTAAATGTTAAATTGAAGACCACATGCGGCAAGCGTTTTAATTTCATCACCTTTTGTATAAGTTTTTGAATAAATACTGCTTCATACGAATACAAAAAAAACAATTTTTCAAAATGCTACTCCTGTTTTTGTCTTTCAATATAACCTGGCACACAAGACGATACATAATTTTGTGCATCGGTTTATGATTTCCCGTGGTTACTAAAAATGAATTTCTGTGAAATTCTGGCTACTCCTCCTACAGTTTTGATTTCAGTATAACTTGGCACACAAGTAGACTACACTAAGATACATAATTCTGTGCGTCAATTTCGAAACTACATAGATTTCTGTGAAATTCTTTCGCAACTTTTTAATATCATTTTCAGAGGTTTTTGATTTCATTGTACTTGTGTGTTCTTTCGACAATCAAAATATTACTTGACACAAGTTTCAACATAATAATTTTGCAAAAATGACCAATGCTACTCCTCCAAGTGCAATTTCAATATAACTTGGCACACACCTCAATTATGTGTCCGGTGTTGCCATGGTTACTAAAAATAGAAATTTCGTTCTTTTAACATGCTACTCCTCCTACAGTGTGTAAATATAATTTGTGCATTGTACATAATTCTGTGCATGCAATTATGAAGATTTTGTGCTCTAAGTGTTGTGAGAGGAGTTGACACATAACAATTTCGATGGGTGTTGCCTATATGTGAAATTCCTTAAAACACTATCCCGTTTTGGTCTGATTTCAATTTAACTTGGCACACAAGTAGACTACACTAAGATACATTAAATAGTGCAATTTTGAATGATGTTGCCATTAGTACTAAAAATAGAAATGTCCGTGAAATTCCTTTAAAACATCACTCCTTCTACAGTTTTGGTCTGATTGCAATGGCTTCTTTTCTTATCCTTTGTTATAAGTACAAACCAGTAGAGCTACAGTCTCGACAGAGACTTCTGGTTTTTTAAGGTATTTTCTGATATCAAAAAAGAAATTCTTGATATCAATAATTCGAATTCTTGTTATCAAAAAATATTTTTTATATCAAAAAATAATTATTGATATAAAAAAAATATATTTTTTGATATCAGAAAATCTTTTTTTGATATCAGAAACTCGAATTCTTGATATCAAAAAATCTGATATCAGAAATTCGAACTTTTGATAGCAAAAAATCTTGTTTATTTTCTGATATCAAAAAATATATTTTCTGATATCAGAAAATATTTTTTGATATCAAAAAATAGAATTCCTGATATCACAAAATGATTTTGATATCAGAAAATACCTTAAAAATATGAAAACGGCGCCCCATACGATATTCCCGAACACTTTTTCAGGCGGATTCATGTTTTTTTCCTAAACATGGAATCAACAACTTTCTTTCTGGGCAAAAAGTATAGCTCTCTCTCTCTCTCTCTCTCTCTCTCTCTCTCTCTCTCTCTCGTTTTCGCTCGACATATCCGTTAATTTGTTTTATTTGCAAAAGATGGAAAAGTCCCAAAACCCACACACAAAATTATTATTTATTTATCACTCCCCCCCTTTCATGATACTATTGAAATATTCATTGAAAGGCTTGTTGGCCCCTCCCCATGTACATGTGTAAGACATGGTAATTTAGAATTTTGGTTGTGAATGGAATTTGACCCCCCCCCCCTTTTTTTCAAAGAATTGATGTTTTTCGTGTTTGGTCAAATTTCTTTTTCCGTATTTTTTTCCTCTGGCTACCCCCCCCCCCCCCCCCTTCTTCCTACTTTTTAATTTAAACCGATACGACTGTGCGTGTCTATTAAATACCGGTACATTGTAATTGCTTTTCTATCGTGAGGGTGAATGTACGAGTAAAGTTCGTGGACAACATTGATAATTACTGACAAACATTGATACAATATATGAAACTACTATTTTCATTAAATTCATGTTTCATTTTATAAATATGCAAGTTTTCAACAAAAACAAAGCACAAATAAATATATTTTTATCGGATAAAAAAAGATACACGCTCATACCCGGAGCACTAAAATGGAAATTCTTGACTTTACCCGACGTCTAAAGCATTATATGAGTACATGTTACTTCTCTCAATATAGTAGTCACCGTTTAACTCAATACATTTCTTATGTCGCTTTAACTAGTCATAAATGCACAAAATGCCCAGGTTCCATACGTAAAATAACATTTAACAATGTCTGTCTCATATCCTGCAATCCTCCTGCAATCCTCCAACCTCTGTCCGCGTAAAAATGATTTTATTTACGGAAATGCGGTAGAGTCACGTTACGAATTTCATTTTCACAGCACTGCAATCTCGGAATGATGGTTTTCCTTCATGCATGTCATCCTGTAAACTGCTCCTTCCGTCCGAAAATATCATATGCCACTTATATACTAATGTATGGCTTCTTTTACTATGTTTTTCCGATTGTTTACAAAATGTATTGGTCTCTGTAGCTGCTTATTCGATGTCTACGCAGAATTTTAATTCTGCTGACTGCTCCACCTATTCCGAAAACGTCCCTTTTTGAACAATTTCGATCCTGTCTTAATATGTTCTAACTTTGATTGCTCAGCCATTTTACAACTTTGAATGTTCAAATTTTGCAGGTTTGAAGTGATAACTTCTGTCAACCTCATAAAGTAAAAGTCATCCAGATTTCAGCAGAATTTTATAAAATACAAATGAAATTTATAAAGTGATAAATAATTTTTTAATTAAAATTTTGCGGTGCTCAGGGTCTCCATTCCAAGTCTAATTATGAAGCCATAATTGTAATTAAACATTTGAAATTGAATCAGATTTTACATTTCTCAATTCACATTTAGTAAAGGATTAGAAATATGCTAATAATAAATATCAATGCCGCAACTTTTATTCAATTCTTAGCTTGTCCACGAACTTTACGGACAACCCTCGTATGTATTGTTTAATAACTTTATAACACTCCTATTGCATGTCTGGTTTTGACATTGATTGGGAAGGGTTCAGAGTTTACTGTGTTAATTAATTATGACATAAACCAATTTAAAGTTGTTGGGAAAGAGTGCGGTTCCGGTGGCCAACTGTAAGGGATATCCGTCTTTCAGATTGTGCAAGAAAAATCGTTTAACGGATCAAAACTGCTTTGAATATAATAAGATATATATTCCATTAAATGTATTTATCATTTTATATTTACATTTCCAATGTCTTTGTCCGAGATAATATTACAAACTGTAAATGCACTTTATTTTCCCATCAATGTATTGGCGCGGTTCCAAAAAAAACCACGTGCAGGGCGGAACAAACAGATAGACAGAAGCAGGGTTTGGAGCACGTGGATTGGAGGAATCAAAGCATGTAAATATAAGGAATAACTCAGATTTTTCATTTTCATGAAGATGATCAATCGATTGGCTTGCGTGATAATTTTATGCATAAACGCCTTCGGCGTTTATGCAAATTATCACGCAACCCAATCGATTGATCACATCATGAAATCGAAAAATAAGACAGTTATTCCTTAAATAGAACATTGGGGGGGGGGGTGCCCGGGGGGGGGGTGTTAAAAAAATAGTTGAAGGGCAAGTTATTAAAATTTTAAAAAGCCAAACTGTAAAGGTTGTTTTTTTTGTGGTGGGACATGGAGAAATAAAAGTCTGGCTAACCAAAAAAAAAAAATTAATCTATTTCGGTTTGGGGGGCGGGGTGATAATTTATGCTAAATTAAAAAAGAATAAATATGCAAGTTAAGAGGGAGGGGGTAATTAATAAGTAATACAATTCTTCGAAAAATGTGTCTTTTTTCAAATGTTGAATTCCTTTTTTGAAATTTATTTATCTATTTTAATTTTTTTGCCGTACATGGGCAATTTATTTCTCGAAGGAATTATGATCGGGCGCGGTATTTTGATGAAAGACGTTCACGTGATGTCCAGTGAAATATTGTTACTTCACTCTCACACAGATGACAAAGTACAAATGTAGCCTCTCGAGACGATGGCAAAGAGAATGACAAAGTGTATAATATGCCTTGGCATATTTGGCTTAGTTTTTTTAATCGCTGGATGTGTTCTTATTCCTGTTTTAAAGAACTTTATAGATTCTAAAATTAAAGAGGTTTGTACAATATTATGAATATGTGAACAGGTTAGGTTAACCTGTGTGAAACTTGTTACAATACATTTCACAAAATGCGCATGTAATATGTAGATGTATCTTTAATGATGATGTACATAAAAGAAAAGGATTGCTATTTAAAATTCACGAAGAAACGCGTAAATTATGAATAAAGTGTGGAGTTAGAGGGAACTTAATTGATCAAATAGACTTGGAGTGCATATAGGCACTCCCTAGTACCAGCTTATAAAACACTTTTTAATAGTTATAATAAATAGAATATACTCAATGTTTTGTTGGATGTGGAGTTTCTTTTACAAATGTGACTGTATTTTTTTCCTCACATTTTAAAATACTGTCTCATGAGTGAAATAAATTCCATATCAAATGCATTAATTGAATTTTCTGTTTGATTTTTAATTACTGTAGACGTACTTTATTTCACGGGGTCATAATTCCGCGGAATCTCAATTTCTGTTTAATCCACGGGTTGAAAATTACGCGGATTTCTTAGACTGTCACTATATGCCTTACATTTATATTAAGTACGCTTTGACAAATTTCCGCGTAAAATTTGTGACCGCGTACATAGCGTAAATTAATATCACACGGAAAAAGTACTTCTACAGTAGTTATTTTTATTAATCAATTTCATTTTTAGCCCACCTGAGCCAAAGGCTCAAGTGAGCTTTTCTGATTGAAATTTGTCTATTGTCTGTTGTATTTATAGTTGTTGTAAACTTTTTACAATTTCATCCTCTTCTCAAGAAGTACTGGGCCAATTTCAATCAAACTTGGCAAAGAGTATATTTTGGTGAAGGTAAAGTTTATTCAAATGAAGGGCCACGCCCTCCTCCAAGAGGATATAATTAGGAAATGACAAAAAATCAATGGCATCATTGAAATATCTTTAGTGTTGTCAAATCGGTTGAAACTCAGAGTCGATTAATCGGTAACATTGGTTGACTCTAACCGACTGATCATCGGCCAATAATCGAATCGGTAACCCTTTGCATAAAATAGGCATTAGATTTTATAAAAATTAGAATTTTATTGTTAAATAATGTAAGTAAAGATGCATTGTACAGATCAAAATTCTAAAAACAGTATATGCAGTTTGATTAACGATTTCAGTAATACAGATTTTTGCATGATTAGGAATTACTTGGCCTGGGAAAAGTAAGCATTGACAGATCAGGTTTTAATTTACATGATTATCTAAAATGTATATGGAATTAATTTTTTAAACTGTTATAAGACATTTAATATAATTGCAAATTCCTTGTGATTCCGTATGAAATGACAGGTGAATTCCCCCAAATACTGAAAATTGATATATTTTATTTAAACAAGTAGTTTAGTTTCTTCAGTTTAGAAATACAAATATCATCTTTTGATTTATTTTTAAACAGATTTTAAGTACATGTATTGTAAAATAGTAAAGGACAACTCTTGAAAGATATATATTTTGATAACAAGAGCCTGTTCTTGAAATAAAAGTGAGAAAACTGTAAAAAAGATATGTGCTGAAATATACCGATTAATCGATTGTTAAAATCTCCTATCGATTGTCTAAAATCGACAGCCTTTCCGACCGATCATCGATTATAAATCGATCATTGTGACAACACTAAATATCTTCCTCTCAAGATTTAACTAATGGGCCAGAACAGATGAAACTCAGGTAGAATAGATTCAAATTTGTTCACATCATGACCCCCAGCGGTTGGGTGGGGCCAAACTGAATGATCGAAATTAAACTTAAAAATATATAGGAAAAATCTTCAAAAGTCTTCTTCTCAAGAACAGCAAAGCTATGATTGGTCATACTTATATGGAACCATCCTCAGATTGTACCCCATTATTAGCAGACCTATTTTTGTATTCATATGAAGCAGAATTTGTCCAAAATTTATACACGCAAAGAAGAAAACACTTCCTCTGATTTAGATATATCGACAACGCATTGTCAATTAACAATGGTTATTTCCATTCTTATGTTTATACGATATATCCTTGAAATAAAAAAAAACACAGAGTTTAGCACATCTGTGTTTTATATTTATATATATTACTTGAAGAAGATGTTAATGCTAATCTAACAACCAAGCTTTATGATAAGCGCAATGATGTTAACCTTTTTGCCAGCTTTCCTTACTTATGCAGCAATATATAGCTTCATCACCTGCAAACGGAGTTTACATATCTCAGTTGATTCGATTCGCTAGAGCATGCTCTACATATGTACAATTTCTAAAACGAGGTGCATTATTGACAAGTTGGTAAAAAAGAATATCAACAGTCTTGTTTAAAGTCATCATTTTAAAACTTTTATGATCGATACAATGACCTTGTCTGCAAATACAATTTATCATTAAATCAAATGCTGATCAACTGATGTTTTTCCTACTAATTGTTAGGCCGTTTTCATATACAATCTGAACTGTCGAAGGATTTTTCCGTTATTTCCCAATCTTGACAAAGAGCACACCATGTTGTGACTGGTCAGCAGAGGATGCTCACTCCTCCATGGCACCTGATCCCACCTCTGATGTTTTGGAAGCTGGTCCATGTTTGCTCTGCTTCAATTTTGTATTTTTTAAAAGACCTTTAAGCTTGAATACTGTTTGTTATCTCCATATATTTCATGGAAGAGATAAAAAAAATTAAATGTATATGTTGAAAATATTCTTTAAACCATGCAGATAACATCAAATTACAGTTATTTTAAATTACAAAAAAGAATAAACATGTATTAATACAGAAGAAATATACATAATAAAATATTTTTAGATAGGCTCCTTAACATGTAATATTATTTGTATATTTCCTTCCAAAAAAAATCATTACATAACATAAAGTGAATCTCTAATTAAGTGTCTCTGCTTATTGTAGAGAATTCCCTATACATGATTACATGTATTACTAAAACTGACTTTTTCAGTTGATAATTGATGTAAACATTTATACGTATGTACATGTTCTTGATCTTTACTAATAGTACTTTTTAAATATGCAATTTCCTGTACTCTCATGCTCATGATCAGATGATAAAGTGAAAAACTCAAAATAAAGTAGAAACTGATTTTCTTTTAGTATAGCTAGATGTTCAAAAATCACTTATGGTGATGATAAATGAGTGCACACAAATGATAAAAATATACAAAAACCCTTAAGTTTTCATAAGGCGCTTGAATTTATGAATTACCTAGTACATGTATAAAGAGTTAAATATTCTAATATGGCTAATTCTAATCAACTATTTATCAGTTAATTTAGTCTAATTTTGTATCACAGATTTTGGCAGATTTTTAAAAGATGTGAGGCTTGAAGACACAAAATCTAAGAGGCCTTAGATTCACTTTTTTGACCATATCTCTTGTCATTATCAACACATTATAACTAAATAATAACAGCAGTTCTCAAAGATTTGTCATTTTAAATTTATAAATTATTAATCTTATTTTGATGAACTTTTGCACAGTAGTTACATAGTTATACATCTGAGGATGCTTATTACCAGCAGATGATATGAATATATCCTCTATTTAAAGAGGTATGGCCATATTTAGATTTTCAAATGGAGTCCAGTTCCAAAATAAAAGCGCCCTTAAACTAGAATTTGACAATTATATCTTCATTTTTTTTTCTGTTTTAGTCAATAGCTCTGAAGAAAGGAACAGACACATACAACACATGGTTAGAGCCTCCAGTCCCGATATACTTCCAGATCTACGTACAAGATCTACAGAACCCTATAGAGGTCGTCAAACATGGCGCCAAGCCGTCCTTTGTAGAGAAAGGACCGTACACTTATAGGGAGCATAGGAAAAAGTGGCAGATAACTCCTCATGTTAATGGAACTCTCTCATACAGAGAAAACAGGAGCTTTGTGTTTGATCTGGAGAAATCAGTGGGGCCACACGAGGAAAATTTTACCACTGTTAATCTCATCATGGTGGTGTGTGTTTCAAAAATATTAAAATCTAAATGCGAATGCTAATTATATTATTCAATTTTCTGTTGAAAGGGCATTTTATAATGCAAAATATTTGTTTTTCCTTTTATACATGATATATCACTTCGAAGTTGTATTTGCTTGGTCATCATTGGATACCCATGGATGAGCTCATCTTCAACTCATGACCTGGAGTAAAAATTGAGATCACCCATGGTTATCTAACAATAGTGCTTGATATGTTCATTTATAAACATGATGTATCACTTTGTACATGTCTTTGTGTGTATACATTTGCAAAAATATGAAGCATAAGAAAGGAATGCTTCATGCATTTTTGCACAGAGTGAAATGTTAAAAGTGAGATACACATATTTTTTGTTACAGACTATAGCTGATATAATTAGGAGGGAATATTCCTGGATTCAGGAGCTGGTCGAGATCGTGCTGGACTGGGGGGATGACAGTAACCTGTTCACGACCTTGTCTGTCAAGGACATTATGTGGGGTTACGAGGATCCATTACTGAAAAAGGTCAAGGACATTGTGCAGAAATACATCAATACCACTGAATTTGATGACAAATTTGGTTTGTTTTACAAGGTAAATGGTTTTGTTTCTCTGTAACTTTTTGTAACTTCATTTACCTACCTGGACATGCCCTTAAGGTTGATATGAATTAAATGGAAAGTCTGTTCCTTTATCATTGCTATATTTATTAGTTAAGGCCACATGAAATGAATGTTAGATTCTCATCCCTCACCACCCTTCTGATATTGTTCTACTGTAGCAGTTTTTTCTGGTTTACCTTGGTAATAATGGATTTTTTTTTTCAAAAAAAGAATAGAGAATAATCAGACCATGTATACCTGCTATAGCATTGCAGAAATTAAATTTGTGAAATTGAAACTGTAAATAATCCTTTTTTATACTCAATTTAGCACTAAAGAGTGTGTGTATTTGGAGGGGGTTTATAAATCTATCTATACCATTCAATGTTTTTTTAAAATCAGAGTTTTGTTTATTTTTTATGGCCAAAGAAGATATTGATAGTAGTATAAATGCAAGACTTTATTACTATTTATAGCAAAATGGTACAGATGATGGGCTGTATACCATATTCTCAGGAACAAAGTCATGGAAAAATTTTAATGAAATTCAGCTGTGGAATAAAGAAAGGTAAGTTAAATGATAAACCAAATTGATTCTTAATTTCATCATTAAGTAATGATAGCCTTTTTTTCATTTACACGTAATTCTCTTTAATTTGTAGCACTGTTCCCTTCTGGAGTACACCTACATGCAATATGATAAATGGAACGGGTAAATATAAGACTGTGTCTCTGTTACATAATATATTAATTATGGCATGTCTATTTCCAAGTACTCCTTGTAATGATTTTCATATTTTGGTGACTTAGTGTGAAGCACATTATTCATCCACGAAATTCATGATGCCAAATTGTACATGTAAGTTTTCATAGATTTGAAATGCTTAAAAACTGTTGGACAGTACTTTGGCCTTTTTTCCACCAAATTTTCATGAGATTTTGTATAGGAAATATTGTTATTTAAAATGTGAATCCATGAACATGTAATTTTAAGATGAAAGGTTTCTTTAATGCTGCCTAGGAATGTCTGTACACTTTGGAATTTTCTAAATTCATCATACATGTACCTGTTATTAATTCTACCACTTGAGGTGGAAGTCTACAGCCTTTTTACTCTATCTCCCACCTACCGCATTTATTAAAAAATCTACCGCTTTTCTACATGCTTTGGTAGCCATTTTTTTTAACCAGTTAGATATGTAAATGATGTTTTTGTCTACTTCATTGCAGTTGATATTTGATCTAAATTGATTAAAATTATTTTGAGGTCATATTTATTTATACATGTAAATAAATATATTTTCTTGAACTCAAAAGTGAAAACATAAAACTGCCTGAATGCACCCTCTTTCCATGTCTGAAACTCCCTCTTTTTTATCTTGCTCTTTATATCATATGTACAAAAACTATGGATATGTGTTTAATGGAATCCTGAGTAACACACTTCAATATTATTATACCCCCCGCTTGAAAAGCGGGAGGGTATATAGTAATTGTTAATTCCGTCCATCTGTACATCCGTCCGTCTGCCATCTGTCCGTCCGTCCGTCTGTTATGCTTTGGGGTACCCATCTCTTATCCGCAACTCCTCTCATACCACTGAATGAAATTTGATGAAACTTTCACAGAATCTTTATTACATATTGCCATTGTGCACCTCCTATTTTACTTTTTGATCCGACACATATTTTGGGTTTCCCGGTCACAGCAAAACATGGACTTTGTCATTATAACTATATGGAGGCGGGGGGTATCATTTAGTGAGCTCATCACTCACAGTACCTCTTGTTCTTATGTAAATGTTTTGGAAAACATTTATTTGATTAAAAAAGTGTAGATAAGCATTAGGATTTTCTTGAAAGCTGGTTTGTCTTATCTTGATAGATGGAACAATCTTTCCACCTTTTGAAGATAAAGGCAGAACTTTGTACATTTTTTCTTCCGACATTTGCAGGTAATTTTAAACATCATTGTTTTAATTTTAAAAAATACACCATTTACATCTTATTTTGATAAATTCTGTATAATAAACTGGACGTTATACATTTGAATAGCATCATATGTAATTGTTCATATCATATGGCATTGTAGATCTATATACACTGTGTATCAGAAAGAGGTCAAACTTAAGGGCATTGATCTGCTGAGATTTGCTGTTCCACCCCGAGTATTTCTCAATCACAAACTGAACCCAGATAATGAGGGGTTCTGTACCCGCCCTGATCTATGTCTGCCCTCGGGACTCCTCAACGTAAGCACATGTAGACAAGGTAAGTCATTCATTAAGCACACCTGAAAATAAGTGTCTTCAACACATATCAACACCTAAAAACAAAGTAGGTATCCTAAATATTAACACCTTTGAACAAAATAGGTGTCTTAAATATTAAAGCTGATTTCAATAGACCCAACGGATTACCCTGTTTGTGACGTGCTAACGCTCTGCTTGTCGAAAGGTGTAAATACTACATCACATTGACACCACATCAAAGGAAGTAGCCTAGATCGCTTCTCTCCCATGCTAAAGTCGGTCAGCTGCACAGCGGCGACGTGAAACGGTTTACAAAAGGGGAAAGACAGCACAAATCTTATTAAACAGTTGGAAAAGAGCATTATTTATATTATATGCATTTTTAATCAATAAAATTTGAGCGTTTCCCCCTGCCTTCCCTCTTTACGATTTCTCTCAAATACTAGTATATGCATAGAGACTCAGAGGGGGCTCCATTTTTCAGCAGTATTTTGTACTAAATTGCAACAATCTCAGAATGCATAGCTTGGATTGATACGCATAACCAATAAATGCAATGATCAATGACTTATGCACTACTTGATTTTTATGCGCCCGGATCGATAGATCCGAGGCGTATATTGTTTTTGTCCTGTCTGTCTGTCTGTCTGTCTGTTTGTTTGTCCCCAAACTTTAACCTTCGCCATAACTTTTGAACCATGAAAGATAGAGACTTAATATTTGATATGCATACTCCACTAATTAAGCTCTTTCAAATGACACCAAGGTCAATGATCTTGTGACCTTGACTGTGGCCTATATGCTAAAAATAGTTTTTTTCTGCAAAATTTAACCTTCGCCATAACTTTTGAACCATAAAAGATAGAGACTTCATATTTAGTATGCATATTCTACTAATCAAGTTCTTTGAAATGACACCAAGGTCAATGACCTTGGGACCTTGACTGTGACCTATATGCTAAAAATAGCTTTTTTCGAACTTTGTTGCTGCCTGGCGCATAGTGTTTCACAAACACATCTTGTTATACATGTATGCAAATATGAAAAAGATAAATTTTGCGATAGAATGAAATAATCGACCAATTTAAATATTAGTAATGGACTGAAAAAAGTCATAAAATGGTTTCGTTGATTAATTCAAATTTTAAACACATTTAACTATGCTGGTAATATTCAAGAAAGAGATTGGTACTGTCTACTCCACTTTTTTTACCCAACAAACAAGCTGTACGATCGTATGTTGCAGCTAACCGACTTTAGCTCGGCTACTTCCTTTGATCTGGTGACAATGTGACGTAGTATTTAAACCTCTCGACAAGCAGAGCGTTAGCACTTCACAAACAGCGTAATCCGTTAGGTCTATTGAAATCAGCTCTAAAACCTAAAAGCAAAAAAAAGTATCCTCAGTATTCTAACACCTTTGAACAACAGGTGTCCTCAACAACAACATCTTTGAACAAAAAGGAGTCTTCAATATAAACTTATTTGAACAAAATTGGTGTCCTCAATATTAAAACGTAAACAGAATCAGTGTCCTCAATATTTACACCTGTAAAAAAACAGGTGTTCTTAATATCAACAGAATTCAACACCTATAACAAAAATCAATGTCCACAATGTAGATACCTATAAAAAAAAAGGTGTTCTAATTGAACAAAATATGTGCCCTCAATATTAACACCTATAGAGTAAGTATAGACTAAATAGGGGTCCATAATATTATCACCTATCAACAAAATAGGTGTCCTCAATATTAACACCTATGACCAACATAGGTGTTAAAGTATTAAGTTCATTGAACAAAATATTTGTCCTCCATATTAACATCTATGAACAAAATGGTTATCCTTAATTTTAAGACCTATAAAAAAAGTAGGTATGCTCCATATTACCACCTATAGCTAAAAGGTGTTCAAGTATTTTAAAACCACAATATTAACACCTATCAACAAAATTGGTATCATCAATATCAACACCTTTGAAACAAGAGGCCCATGGGCCACATCGCTCACCTGAGCACTGTGGCTAGGAAAAAGTAGAAATTGGTTTATTATTGAAAAGTTTAAATCCAAAAGTAGTCCCATGACCAATTATGGCTTTGCTATTCTTGAGAAGATGATTTTTCAAGAATTTTCCTATATATGTCTATGTAAAACTTTGATTGGCCATTGTGGCTCAACCCTACCCCCAGGGGTCATGATTTGAACAAACTTGAATCTACACTACCTGAGGATGCTTCCATATGAATATGATCAATTATGGCTTTACTATTCTTAAGAAGATGATTTTTAAAGAATTTTCTCATACATTTCTATGTAAAACTTTGGTCGGCCATTTTGGCCCCACCCTACCCCCAGGGGTCATGAATTGAACAAACTTGAATCTACACTACCTGAGGATGCTTCCACATAAATATGATCAATTATGGCTTTGATATTCTTTAGAAGAAGATTTTTAAAGAATTTTCCTATATATTTCTATGTAAAAATTTGGTCGGCCATTGTGGCCCTGCCCTACCCCCGGGGGTCATGATTTGAACAAACTTGAATCTACACTACCTGAGGATGCTTCCATATAAATATGATCAATTATGGCTTTGATATTCTTGAGAAGAAGATTTTTAAAGAATTTTTCTATATATTTCTATGTAAAACTTTGGTCGGCCATTGTGGCCCCGCCCTACTCCCGGGGGTCATGATTTGAACAAACTTGAATCTACACTACCTGAGGATGCTTCCATATAAATATGATCAGTTATGGCTTTGTTATTCTTGAGAAGAAGATTTTTAAAGAATTTTCCTATATTTTTCTATGTAAAACTTTGGTTGGCCATTGTGGCCCCGCCCTACCCCCAGGGGTCATCATTTGAACAAACTTGAATCTACACTACCTGAGGATGTTTCCCCATAAGTTTCATCTTTCCTGGCACAGTGATTCTTGAGAAGAAGATTTTTAAAACATACCACCAAATTTTCATTAATTCCCAATTATCTCCCCTTGAATGAGGGCGTGGCCCTTCATTTGAACAAACTTGAATCCCCTTTACCCAAGAATGCTTTGTGGCAAGTTTGGTTGAAATTGGCCTAGCGGTTCTTGAGAAGAAGTCGAAAATGTGAAAAGTTTACAGACAGACAGACAGACGGACAGCTGGATGGACGCCGGACAAAATGTGATCAGAAAAGCTCACTTGAGCCTTCGGCTCAGGTGAGCTAAAAATGGTTGTCTTCAATGTAACACCTATCAACAAAATAGATGTCCTCAATATTACACCTATCAACAAAATAGATGTCCTCAATATTAACACCTTTGAACAAAAAAGTGTCCTCAATATTTACACCTATCAAGAAAAAAGGTGTCCCCAATATTAAAACCTGTAACCAAGGTATACACCCTAACAACAGCACAACTAGACCTGATTTATAAGTCTCTTTAATGTTATCAATACAGATATGTGTTAAGATTTTCTTCACCTGTTGACACAATTGTATTTTCATTCTAAGCCTTTATACACAGGGTTTATCTTGTGTGTCACATTTTGTACATCAAAACAGTCGGTGTACATGACCTCAGGATATAAGATAAAGGAGGATGCTGTATGTATACCATTAAATGGCTATGTAAAAGCACTCTTACACTGATAATGAAAGTACATTAGCTCTAAAGACACTATTTATCTAGGCAGTGATCTTCCCACCTATTACAGCTTTAACACTATACAGGAAAAAAAAAACGATGATGAATAAAAAAAAAACAGGGGAGAGGAAGTATGGGGCATTATTTCAATGAAAAGTCCTCTACAACTTTTTAAACTTAACATTTCAACTGATTAAGTCATGTTGATTTTTATTAATATGAGAAAACACACAGTGAGTATAATTCTTAGAAATGAAGAATCTCCCCCCTTAAAGTTCATCGATACTCTGATAAGAGAGAAAACTTTTAATGACATTAATGTCTATTATTCCTTTTTAAGTTTGTCAAGTTGAAGTGTCTTTTCTGTCCAATATTCCCCAAAAGCTATGCTATAATTGTTTGTATTTTACTTATAAAATACCAGTACATTCTGTTTGGAAAATCATAAATGTTAAAAAAGTATTATTTGAGTGAGCAGAGGGTTTATGAACCTTATTGTTACTGTCAGATTGAAAGGAAGAAATGATGTATTATGGCATGGAGTATATTTGGATGGCAGTTAGGAGTTGTTAATTGTGAAGTGTGTAGAAGTTGATAATGCTATATCACATTAAATGTTGTTCCATCCAAGGGCAGTTAAGCAGTTATTAGTTATTTTGTGTTTAATAATTGAGACTGCTATGTCACATTGACCATTGTCCACTCCAGGAGTAGTTAAGCAGTTATTAGTTATTTAGTGTACAGTTATTAAGGACAGCTATGTCACATTGACCATTGTCAACTCCAGGAGTAGTTAAGCAGTTATTAGTTATTTAGTGTACAGTTATTAAGGACAGCTATGTCACATTGACCATTGTCCACTCTAGGAGTAGTTAAGCAGTTATTAGTTATTTAGTGTACAGTTATTAAGAACAGCTTTGTCACATTGACCATTGTTCACTCCAGGAGTAGTTAAGCAGTTGTTAGTTGTTTACTGTACAGTTATTAAGGACAGCTGTGTCACATTGACCATTCTTCACTCCAGGAGTAGTTAAGCAGTTGTTAGTTATTTAGGGCTCAGTCAAAAGGAACATCTTTGTCACATTGACCATTGTCCACTCCAGGAGCACCTGTCATCATGTCTCAGCCCCACTTCCTCGCTGCTGATAAGGAGTTAGTACAGGACCAGGTCATTGGTTTAACTCCGGATCCAGAACAACACGGAACTGTTCTAGATGTAGAACCTGTAAGTTTAGTATTGATTAAGCCACGTACAGCATACAGAGGCCTTTTCTAGAACCTTCATAACTGTTCAAATCTCAAGAGTTTTTTTTTAAGTAAAATTCAATGTTCAATTGTAATAAAACCCAGCAAAATGTTATTGTTATTTTTTGTTATCTACTAATGGTTACTTTTTTTCAGTTAACTGGAGTGGTAATGAATGCACAGAAAAGGCTGCAGTTAAATGTCTACATCAGAAATGTGTCCCATATAAGGTTTTAAATGATTCTTGTTTTTTAATGCAAAAACAAATACAACTATTTCCTATAGGGCATGGCATTATCCAAAGCAATGTATTGCACATGTTATCAAGTAAAGAATGCTATTCATTAACTGTTACCTATCACCCTTGCATGTGCATAAAGTTTGCAATTAAAATCTGCAGGGGTTTTATCTGACAATTGATCTGTTCTTCTCAAAATCTCTTGATTAATGCATTTTCAGGTGGTAACAGAGAATTTTCCTTCTTTTCATAATTGTCTTGTATTTTCAGAGACACAGCTAACATTGATCACATATACTATCCAGTTCTATGGCTAAATGAGGTTAGTTTACCTACTGAATAATGACTATTTTATGCAGTTCCTGAAAGGTAGCAAATAAATTTCTGAGTTTTTAATTTCATGGGTTGTATAACTAAGCATAACACTGATAAGATAACCCATAAAATATGAATACAGTTTTCAAGGATATTTAGTCTTTAGCAAGGATATTTGACTATTAAAAATCCCAGGAAGTTTAGATATTCCTGTCATATTTTCCATGCCATGTATCTCAGAAATATTTTATGCCTCATTTTTTATTTCAAATAATGAATACATGAAATAAAGTGCCATCATGAAAGCATAATGCAAGTTTTCTCAGCTGAATAAGCCCATGGGTAACTTTAAATCTTATCCTTACCTAACATGGATAGATGTCATATGCAGCCTGCTGACAGCCAGAGTTACCTCTGGTGCTGGTTTTGACCTGCAAATCTTTGAACTCACTATGTTGGAGGATGTCCATTGCAATGTAACTAAAAACCTTTCCTGGTCCAAATCTTTCATAAATGTTGCATCTAGGGATGCACACTACCAGAATATTCATTTGGTATGACTATGCATACTTATTGATAACATTTTTAGCTCACCTGAGCCAAAGCCTTTATTAATGGTTGTTGCTGTTGTAGGCATTGTCTTTGTGTTTGGTTACAATTAACTTGGATTTATATAAGAATATATAGAAATATATCTTTTCTCAAGATATAGAACAGCTAATTTTTGATAAGACACACAAATAAAGAAGTTTCATCAGGTTGTGTAGATACTAGTTCATTCAAATCATGACTGCTGAGGATGGTTCAGGGACACATTAGGTGAATTAATTTTGCATCAAAAGCAGTACATGTATATGAAAAAAAATTTGAAAATCTCCTAGAAAAGCAAGCCAGGATAAGTTGGATTAATGTGAAAGTATCCCCAAAAGTGTAGATTCAAATTTGTTGAAAAGCATACTAAGATAATGTAGTGTTCAAATTCATTATTTGACCCCCCCCCCCTCAAAACCCCAGAGTAGTCTTACTACACTAGACTATCATCTTTAGGGGGGAATTTTAAGAAATCCTCTAGAGAATATTATTAGATATATTTATGTTAAATGATCCTTAATGTCGAAAAATATATACATGTAATTGAATACTGTAAAATCACATATTTTTGAGGAGTCAAAATTTTGTGGTTTGAGGAAAATATATTGGTTCATAAGGATTTGATTTCATGGTTGACAAATTGTTCAGTAGTAATATACGTATGAAATTGCAATACCTTGGGGACATAAATTCGTGGGTCTCTTCATACCTCGAAAATTAAACACCCCCCACGAAAACGAGTGATTTCACAGTAATTGATATGTTTGAGATGGAAATCAAATAATACAGCAATTCTTAATGGTAGATACTTTATACAATAATAAATTCTGACAATTGTTTAACTATCACTTAAACAGTATTTTTTTTTGTGGTTGATTGTACTAAGCTAGAACTTTTTGTGTGGTAGAGTGCTGTGATAGATGATAAAAGTGCTGAAAAATTTAAGAAAGAAGTGATGACTCCCATCAAGCTAACGGAAGCTGTGGAGTATGGACTGATAGTTCTGGGAGCCTTCATGATTATTTGCACAGCAGCTCTTTGTATTAAGCAAAGGGTATCTAGCAAGGTGGGTTAAAATGTTATAAGGAAATATTTTCACACTTTCACAGATCTCCTATTTTATCCACTCTTTATGTTGATCATTTTTCTATCTGTCAATTGACTGATTTTGTGGTTAAACATCATATCTGGATATTTTAGCCTGAAGATGACCTTGAAGACATCCATCACGGAACCAACACATCTGATAAAGAACCCATCCTGAATTAACACATGTAACAAGATGGAAAAAAACATCCTCAATTGAGGTTACAAATAAAGAAAAATTAATGTGGCAAGAAAGTGTCCCACTTACAATAGCTCATTTTAACTTTACCTTATCCTTGATACATGTACTACAAGGAAGATTTACTGTGCTATTTTAATCCGCCTTGTTATGGAATAACACTGTGATACAGAGAGTAGAACATGTTCTAAAGTATCTACATTGTGTGTAGATTGTTATTTATTTAAGGCTGGAAGGCAGGGCTTCCTCAAGAAATTGTACCAAGATTGGTATATTATACAAATTATAAATACACTTATTTCTAATTTTGATTATAAAGTTAGATCATTAAGAAAGGTATTGAAATCTTTCTCTTTCTTTATTGTTTATATTTCTTTTCTGCTGAGATCATGTTGAATTATAGAGTATATTTCTTGAAAATAGTTTTTTGTTATTTTAAAATTGATCATTACCGATATGTATGAACAAATGTGGAAAGGACTTATATAGGCAGTGCCTGCTGTCCAATCCCAATATGTTAATTCATAAAATATTGTTTAAATTAAAAAAAAAATGTTTGAACAAATTGTTTCATAATAGTATTTTGGTCTCTATAATGCTGAGTAAAAAATTTGTCACAAAGTTTAAAACCTGCTGATAAACTAAAATAGAGATTGAATTTGGTGCTGAAGTTTGTCTGCCATTGTTTGTTGTGTGTGAGTGTTTTAAAGCATGTTGCAACGTATATATATCTTTTTAATATATGTCCATGACATTCCTGCAGTACTCATGGTATAATTATATCCTTGAGGCTTTTTTGTGACTAAATCTTATTTTTTTTATATACATATGTGTTTTAGTGACATGATAATTAACAAGAGCTTTTCTAGATATACATAAGTTACACAAATATTGCACCTTTTATATTTCCAAATGCTTGTAACCATGGCTTTAATTGAAGCATTGGTTCTCTCTCTTTTTTCTTTATATCAAAACCATAACTATTGTTTATTTAACTAACCATCTCCAGTAATAATGAAGAATAATTTTTCACAGAGTAAAAAAAAAAATGTCAGGGTTTGTATATGTGAAAATGAGTTATGTTTAAAAGGTTAAAATCGACATATAATGATTCAGATAGACCTTGATGACATTCTAATATCCAAATGATTTAAATGCGACTAATTAAACGTGATTTTTTTTCATTTAAAGAGAATATACTCAGAGCACCTTTTATATGCTGTATGTACTATATTAAGTGTACTGCTTCTTGTGACATTCTAGTCAATATGATATTTCACTTTCAGTTAAAAGCTATACATGTAATTAATAATATAGGACAAATACTGTAGTTTCATCAATTTTTGTTGAGCACCAATTTTAGAGGATTTCGTTGTTGAGCAGATTCACGAATTTAAATGTTCATTGAATTAAGAAATATATTATTCCTTTGTATAGGCAATGTTTTTATCCATGAAATTATGTATTCTCAAAAACGTGTTTTACAAAATCTACTAAAAATGACGGCAACAGAAATTAACGAAACCACAAAAAAGAGAATGTAATTACATTTGTTTCATAATTATAGGTAAAGAAATTTGTTAGAGTCATGTTTTGAAGAAAACAGAGACATATAATCGATCTATTATAGTCTTTGAAGAAAATCATTATTTTTTTTTTTCATTTTCAACACAAGGAATTGTTAAGTGTTTTTCAGTACCATTGCAGGCTGGTATATTGAAAATATTTTTATTAGATTTTTCTTTTAAAAAACGACAAAAAAAGTTTAAGACAGAAATCTTTGTGTCTCTTCATTTAGAGATGTTTTATATGGTCATTTTGATGTATGATAAATAATTACTGCTGCTGTAATATTAAAAAAAAATTCTGAAATAAATATCTACAGGGCATTGTAAAAATTGATTTAGAAGTACTTTTGTTTTTTTATAATATTTTGAAAAAAAGTATGTTTTATTCATTTTGCGACGTTGTGATTTTTTGTAAAAAGAATCATATTGTAAAATACATAAAAACAATTAATTCTGAAGAAAAGCAATTGAATTTTTATCCCTTGACCCCGCCCAACCTCATACGCGGAGAATTGAAGTTAGGATGGACGCCTTTCATATTTTTTACAAACAGTCCTCTCCTATATTTCATTTGGTTTCTTTTTTACCACGACTTCCAAACATGACTTTCTCGAGTCCCATAAAAGGCGATTCGAACGCGATCGAGAGGATAAAAGCTATTCCGTAAGATACCATGAGATTGGCAAGGAAGGTGTAGACCTGGAATTAAAATTTAAGAGAAAGCCGATATTAAAATGAAAAAAAACCCAATAGAAACAGAATGTTTGAATAGTTGATAAATTAAGAAGAACGCAAATACTTACCATATCCAGATCAGTAAGATAGAAGGGGAAATTTCTGTTGAAGTAGTACACGTACATAACCAGAGGGTGGACCAAATAGGCGCAGTATGTCAGTCGAGAAAGAGGCACAAATGCTTTCCATGAAAGCAATGTGTTGATGTAGCCTGCAACAGATCAGGCAAATTCTTTTTTGTAAACTTATATATCAATATAAATACATTATAGGGCAACTATATAAATTTATTTGAATTAAGAAATTTTATTTCATGATGAAAATGATGTAATGTAAAAAATTAATCTTTTAAAAATGATTCATGTACAAGTCATTTACAAGACATGAATAATTTACTAAATCAAATAGTTTACCCCCATTTCCGGTAGCGCATGCGAAGATGACCCAACACACCGCCGCTCCCCACACGGTTCTGTTGAGGGCGTTGTACAGAGCAGTGACCTCTTTGGACAGGGCCACCGGTTGGTCTGGTTTTACCGTGTCGTAAATACCGTACAAAACGGCACAGGCTGAGGCTGCAGCTACCGCCCACCCCAACAGGTTCACGAACTGTAAATTCAGTAGTGCATTCAACCTAGGCTTACTACAGTATATGGTTTTCTAATTCATTTACAAAAAGAATTATTATTATACAATTTTAAAAGTAAACTTACGATATTCATTCGGCATTTGCATTTGGTTTTGTAGAGTATGTAGCCTGTTATAATACCGCAAATGTATGGTCCCATACGACAATATGGTACTATGTAATAGTCCTCAAAGTAGGCGGCTCTACTACAAAATTTAAAAAAAAAATAGGTTTTTGATCAATCAATAGTGTGATTTCATGAAAACTGCATATATTAAGTAAACTTACGATATTTATTCGGCATTTGCATTTGGTTGTACATGTTAAACTGTAGCCTGTGATAATACCGCATATGTATGGTCCCATACGACAATATGGTACTATATAATAATCCTCAAAGAAGGCGCCTCTACTACAAAATTAAAAACAAAATACATTTATTCTCTTTGATTTGATTTTTGATTCTCTCCTAAAGGCAATTAGGATTATAAAAAATAGTATTTTGTACAGCTGCTTTTTACATGATTTTTTTCTGAAAGAATTCTTAAAACAATCAAAAAGCAATACATTTTTATCTTATATTTTTTTTTATAAACATGGCAGATGGGTTAAGAGAAAAAGAAAACGTACTCAGCATCCTTGGGACCACCACCTACTGTGTGAACTGGAAGGTTTTTTACGTAACTCAGTACACCTGGGGTGATGGTCGCAGCCAGCAAGAAAACAAGAGTCACAATAGCGCCAAGTATCTTGTTGCTGAAAAAAAGTAAATATATTCTTGAAAATAAAATTCTCAGATACAATTGTAAGCATCACATTTTAAAATGTTTTGCCGATTCGCGAATAGGTACTTACAAAAACAACAGTGGAATCAAATATAACCATAGTGCATGTCAAATTAAAATACTTATTAAACACTGTAAATGAAAAAAAAATCAGGAATACGATTCCATGAATATAAAATATTCATTTTTTATCCAGACCATTTAGCAATTTCCCTCCACATTTAACAATATCAATATTTCCTTCCATATACTAGTAAACCACATATCTCTATTTGCTGTACTGACATTTTATTTTAAAAATTCTTGAAATTATTAATCAAATTATTTTCATAGCAAGACATTTTAACTTATAGCTTGTATACATTAACAAAGCAGAAGGAATGGTTGAAACGTACTCAGCGTCCTTGGGACCGCCACCAATGGTGTGAACTGGAAGGTTTTTCACGTAACTCAGTACACCTGGGGTGATGGTCGCAGCCAGCAAGAAAACAAGCGTCACAATAGCCCCAAGTATCTTGTTGCTGAAACGCATAAATATATTTTTCATTAACTGTTCATGATACATTTGTATGTTTTCATCACATTTTAAATTAAAAATATGTGAAAACGATTTTAAAGGTATATGGCAATATTTTCAATATATCTGATTCTCGTATAAAAGTTTCAAGAAATTTTATTTTCAGTTAATTCGATATACAAAAAGATCGAAATGTAGATAACAAGCTTCTACAAATAAACAATGAATGATACAATTTATTTTTATATTTTACACAATCACACCAATTGTTAATGAATTATTATTTGAAACGTTTAGTTAAAAAAAGCATGTTTCTCAAGTTCTATTTGTAGATTCAGACAATTAGAATATGTCAAAATACAATGTGCAACCTCACTGTAGTTCCGCATGATAGTTCGTTTGATTCATACTGTAATTAAGTTATATCTGATGGTTATTTATACATTGAAAAGATTTCATATTGACCAAGACGAAACAAAAAATACTTTCCTGAATTTCCATACTTACAAGAACTGATCACAATCATAACTGGACTTAACACGTAGAACTGCATGTCGTTATTTAGATACCATGACCAGCCTAAACACTGTTATGACAAGGAAACTCGACTCCCCTCCATGGCATTCATGATCTCTTTTCTGATGTTTAGGAGGTCCGTGTTTGCTCTGCTCCTATTTTGTATTGTTTTATGGACTTTTGAGATTGAATACTGTTCGTTGTCTCCATATCCTTCAATGGTACGAAAGTTATTATAAGAGTTTGGGTACCCCAAAGCGTAACAATGAAAAACGGACATAAAATTCATATACCCTCCCGCTTTTCAAGCGGGGGTATAATAATTTGGATCCCCACAACGCCCACCCACCCCATTTCTTTGGGCGTAATTAATGCAAGAATGAGAATACCTGAGCCAAAGAATAACGATTGTGTACAAGTTTGCTACTATTTGAAGTATTTGACAAATTGTTCTAGGAGTTTACCAAGTCTTTGTATCCAAAGAAGTTATCAATGTACAGAAGGTTTTTCCACCAGGCTCTTTTACATGTTTCATCTGGAGCTGGTTTGTTAGGACCGAATACCAAGTGAGGATAAATAGTCACATACATACCGATCACCATCATGTAAACGGGGGTCAACCTGAAAATATGATTGCTGAGTTGTTCTGACACACAGTGTATGGTGGAATGTTTGTGGTGGTATGCACTCGCTATTTTCTTAGTGATCTGTAGAAGTTTTTTAACCAAAATGTAATCAAACACTAATATGCCGAGGCATTTTGCAAATTGATAGTCAGCGCCAAAATTAACGATGTCTAAAAAAGATTCAAAATTATTATGTTAAAAATACGTAAAATTTAACTATATTCTCCTGATCACTTCAAAACTGTACATTTAGTTCTGTATATATCTCCTATTTAAATACTTCATTGAACGGTCCACATGTACCGTTATCGGTAAATTTACAGCTAGTACTTTTTCATAAGATAATGGAAATTAATAGTCTTTAATTTTCAATCAATTTTACGGGTTCGTCATTACCTCCAAAATCGATGGAAATAGAAAAGGAACCAATTGATCCGCCCCTTAGTTTTGCTCATTTGCTTCAGCAGCAGGTAAGATGTCAACAGTCCACTAAAACATATAATAACGTTTTACTTTTGCATTGCAATTGTTTAAAATCATAAAAAAAACGATTTTAATGGTAAATAATTCAGAACTAACCTGAGAACAAAAAATGTATCAACGGACACCAAGGCATTGAAGATGACCTGAGACGAGATACGACCCATGAAATCGTAGTAGTATACCAGCGTGTTGGCTGAAAAGGTTACAAAAACATCGCATTAAAAAGACCCAGACATTTTCTTGAATATTCGGCTTCAATATTCCTGGTGAATGCAGGTTAGAATATATAAGTCCTTTCCAGAATGAAGGTTTGGAAACCATCGCAATCCCAATTAAGGTCAAGAAGTTTGTCAAGGATTCCATTACTTATATTACAACAAATGATACTGAAATTTTGCATAATTTATTATAACTTACATGTATTTCCAAGAATGAAAGACAATGTGTGCCCCAGGATGACCCAGCTCATACTGAGGAATCGGATTCCGTTGATGGCCGTCAGACTTCCTTTTGGTTGAGACGTGTTCAGTATCTTCTTACCGTTGGTGTAGGCGCTGAAAGACAACATAATTTTACCAAGAACACCTGAAAAGAAATAAATCAAATGAGCATGGTTTTGTATGTCGGTGGGAGCACCCCATATACAATCTTTAAACAATCGAAACATATGATATGCAATCACATTAATCAGAGTGAGAGAATACATGAAGTAAAGCTACGGGAAAGATTACTTGGACGTTTGCTACACTAGTAAAAGATAGTTTTCTGCATTTACATTGTAAATTAATTTGCTAAATGAAGCTCTGCTCTGTTGTTTGTCTGTTTCTAGAATAAAAATGCCTGTATCCTAATACCCGGTTCACTTTTTTTCTCCTCTGTTGTAGGACGTTGGATATCTCCTAGGTCAACTCTCAGTTTGTAGCTTGTGACAGGGGAACTAAAACTTTTGTTCTCTTTGCTTTCGTGTTTTTCGTAATTCGCCTTTCTACGCCTAATCTTTATTTTCAGGATGACGTCATAGAGTGTTCCCACCAAGATGAGTAATAAAAAAATTGCAAGAATGACACTGGAACAAAACAAAACGTATGTATTTCTTTACAGGGTGATGAACTGGTACTTACATGTTCTCGCAAACTGCATCAGTCTAAGAATCAGAAGAAAACCCGACCAATGCAACAGAGAAGTAAGAAAAAAAATTGCTTCCTGTACTTAGACCTATATATTCAACATACAAAACTACAAAAGAAATCCTGCAAAATAACCAAATAGGATAAGCTCTTGTACAATCCATTCACTTTAAAAATAAATATATATAATATTTGTTTTGAAACAATTGGTTTGTAAGAAAGGATGGAGCGAGAACAATCCCCTTCATTCTCTTTTTTCAAAATTGCTTTGTAATCAAACATACTAGTATGTAGATTACATAATTTATTGATAAATAATTGAACAAAAAAAACGTAATCTAATGTGTAAAAGATGATACTGACAACAATGCTTTGGAAAAATACTAAATTTCCTTGAACTTTTAGAATTGCTAAATTACAGACTCTTTATTACAGCGGAGGATTATACGTCTCCATTTTAAGTACAAACTCTGCCCTTTCAATACTCACATGACTACTATAGTGCTAGTCTCCAGCTTGTCGTCTTCGGCTGGAGTAGGACAAGTTATGGGATACGCTGTCACACGGGCTTCTCCGAGAGGTATAGCGTACAGAACTAAAGAAAATCGCAACTGATTGTATTCTAAAATTTGATGTTGTAGAGTAAATCAGAACTGAATGAGTATTTGTGCTTGCCCTAACGGTCGCACCGTCAACATATTAATAAAATATGAAGACAATGAAAAGTAATGAAATGAAAGCCCAACCGTATATTGAAACAATAGAAATTGAGAGCAGAGCAAACACAAACCTCTACAAACATATCATAGGTGGAATCAGGTGTCATGGATGAGTAAGCTTACCTTGTCGATCGGTCACACCACTGTGTTTTCGTCATCATTGGGCAAAACGAATATCAGTGTAAACAACTGACCATACAATTTGTTTCTTAAGTCGGTCAGCATGCGTCTTAATTATGGAATGTACATGTATTATCTTGCAAGATTATTACATTTACAATAATATTTGCCAAATGTTGACTTTAATGCGACTGTTTATGTTTTGTTTCATCAAATTGTCAATTGCAGAAATTCTTCGTATGCAGAGAATGCTCTTGTGTATCGAATCAACTTGGAGGCAATAACTTGATATGTAGGCAGGTCACAATTAACAGATTAACGTCTTTTTCAGAAAAATATCCAGATATGAAATACTAAGTAGATCTGTCCGACTCAGTGGTATATATTATTTCAAGTTCAAAGGGATGTATACCTCTGATGTTTAGAGGTCTGTGTTTGCTCTGCTCCTGTTTTGTATTGTTTTATGGACTTTTGGTCTTGAATACTGTTCATTATCTCCATATGTTCCATTGAATCAACATATAGGAATGAAAATGATTAACGATATTTCAAATATTTGTATGGTGATATTTTCAACAAGCATTATCAACTTAAGAGCTTGGATACTTTTGCATGAATGATACTTTCGTATGATCTTTGTAGCATAAAATATAATAAAACGTATTTTTCTTACAGAATACTCTGAAATGACGTCAATTCAGATTTAAATCTCTGTATCGAACTTACATGTATTTACAGCTCGGAGGAGATCGTCAGTACTGCAGGACTTTGGGAAGCACATTCCTGCCTTGATTGCACCTGGATTTTGTAGTGCTGCCAGAAACTATATGGACATATTTAAAATTTAAAAAAAACAGATTATTAACGTTAAAATATTTTATTCATTACTACGATGTCAGATTGTTTTATGTCGAACAAACAAAAGAGGAAACAACAGTGGTTGTAGACGTTGATGAAATGAAAAATTATACTCACCATTTTGATATTTGGAGGCAAAGGAAGATTCAGGGACACGGTACAGTACTGTCCTTTAACGGGAGATTGCTTGCTTGGTAGGAATCCCATCGACCCCACTACTGTGCTGTCACTATAACACTCATCATACGAACCGTACCAATTCAGGTCCAGGTTCATAACACCTGTGGGTATCTTTGCTGATGCGTCCAACACTAAAGAAAGAAATTACAATCTTGAGTATCCAAATTTTGGACATCGACCCTCATTCACCCATCTATCTCAATCCTTTTCATACTCGTAAAACATCATGTTAACGCAATCTTGAATATCCAAATTTTGGACCCCCGGCCCCAATTACTCCCTCAGTCTCAACCCTTCCGCTACTTGTCTACCGTCATGTAAACACTTCATTTTTAATACATCTTCACTTATTCATAGACTTACTTTTCAATGCCCATGGTTCCCGCGCCTGCAGACCTGAGATTACTTTAAGGAGGTCACTCTGACAAGTCAAGGAAACATTTGAGGATTTCATCATGGCGTTTAAGTACAGCATCATCATCTGCCCAGCACTGCTGAGATCCACATTTCCAGTCGAGAGAAGCTTTAAGATGTTTGCAAAGTCTAATCCTGAGGTAGCTCCGGTTCCTTCAACTGTGAAATAACTTTTTCCATCGTGTCAGGATTTTGAAGAATATTCTGGATCGTTTTTCCAAGACCATCAACTAAAGAGTTGCTTGGGAAAGCACTGTTTGACTGAGACGCATTTCCTGAAGAACCACCAATGCCAATGCTTTCCAGCATCTGTGTTATAAATTTTTCGATCAAATCGGGGTTTTGGAGAATATTCTGGATTGTGTTTCCAAGACTGTTACCTGAAGAACTACTCTGGGAAACCTTGCTCGGCTGAGACGAGCTTCCATTAGGCGACAGGGATCCAAGTATATTGTTGATCAGCTGAATGGTGCTCTTTGTGTCATTGTTTGTCTGTAAGGTGCTGTTGTTGTTAAGTCCTGATAAAAATTTCTGGAAAGCACTGATGAGAGAAATTTGAGCGCCTCCTGGATGTGTTGTATTGGTGGTGTTAATATGAATTTGGTCTGCTCTTTTCAAGAGTGAGTGCGCATTTAAGTGATCTGTCCATTCCAAAAACTCTGTAGAAGTTAAAAATGGTGCTATAGCTTTTTTGACCTCAAAAGTTCGATGCAGAGTTCCGAGAGGGTTAACTGCATATTCATGATAAAGAAGTTCATTTCCAGAACCCAGTTCACAGATACTGATCAAACTGAAGATGAGGACACACGATCGAACCGCTTTCATCCGATACATGACTCTGGAAGAGAAAGGTCTAGGTATATGAATAGCTACTTGACTGGATGTGTCAAGATATAGGGATTGTTACAATCTTTTTTCAATTTTTTTTTTTGGCTATAAAACTGAAAAGTAGTTTAAAGAAGATGTCATGCAGTTGAAACAATCCAAAGAAAATGAATGTGCAGTTTTCTTTATTTTCTTTACAAGAGCTTTCTGGAATTAAGAATCGGACTTCAGGCCCCGGGATCATGAAACATCTTAAACTTAAGTCAAAATACTAGTATTCAAATATTCAAGTCATACTAAAATTTTGATTAAGTCAAGTAGACAAAAATTAAAATGTTTGTCAATATTTCTTCACAAAAGTGTTGTTACCTGTATCTGCAGATTAAGAGATTCAGTCAACAATTAATAAACATTTTATAGGCGATTAAAATTTTAACTTAAGACCTGGTGTACATACATTTGAACTAATTTCTTACTTTGGTATATAAATATACTCTTACAAAATTTATAAGAGTATATTCATATATAATATAAATAAATATTAAGATTTGTTAGTTTGTCCTTGTGAGGAATGAAAGAGACTAAAATTGCATCGAGATTGATGTCGAATGCTGTCTTGATTTAGACATGTGTAGATATATGCACTATGCTAGGGGATGCTCCGCTTTGCAGTACCATTGTTGTTGTTGTTGGTTGTTGTTTTTTCTCTCTTTCTTTAATATCATAATCTCTGGGTTTTTGAAAATTTTGTTCAATATCATATATATTTTTAAAAACAAGTTTGATTGAAAGCTTATTTACGTGATTTTTGTTTTTTATTTACATACTCAGTAAAACCTCAGTGGTTCCCTTCATAATATGGTTACCCTTTTGAACTCTTGAACTTGTGTTGAATAATCGATTACATAAGTTCCTGATTAAGATTCCATTCAAAGTCTCGGTCAATGCGGTCCGTTAAAATGATACAGAGGTGTAAAAAAGCCCCGTTGTGACCTAACGTCACGGTCAGTTTGTTCAGAAATACAACAATATACCGAATGTAACCTACATCGTGCATGCGCTAGTTTGTTTTTATGACAAAATATTTTTCTATGTCGTTTCTTCTCTATGGCGTCGAAATGAAGGTATTTATTATTTGGAGGTTAGGTGATTCAGACACAATGGTTTTGGCCTGATTTCACTTAAGGGATTCCGACCCTCAGCCAGGAAGGACAACTCTTCAATTTATAATTGAATTCAAAAAGTCTTTAAATTTAGCTTGAAAATTAAATATTTTCATGCAACAATTTTCATTATATGCCTCTCAATGTGCTTCAAGGTTCTTTGCAAAGCTCCATAAATCACTTCTAATTTCATATCATGTTAATGAACATTGGTATCTAAAAATGCTTTTTCGGGATAAAAAATTCTACTTTTAATTAGACCATTCTGAGAAGTTCAAAGAACCTTGAAGCACATTGAGAGGCATATAATGAAAATTGTTGCATGAAAAGATTTAATTTTCAAGCTTCATTAAAGACTTTTTCAATTAAATTATAAATTAAAGAGTTGTCCTTCCTGGCTGAGGGTCGGAGTCCCTTAACATTCTGATTTGGATCGGATTCTTGATATTTTTTTTATTTTTATCTATCTACATGTATTTAATCAATTATTTAATTATTTATATTTATTTATTTGTTATCAATCTGATAAAACATAGTTATCTATTTGATATACTTTTTAAAACTAAAAAAAAAAAAAATCCAATATTTTGAGAGCAAAAGTTACAAAGCCGTCAAAAGGAGGAGGGGGGTTAGGTGCATGGAATGCAATCACACCTCGATTTTAGAAATAGAAATATCATTTTCAAAACAAATTAGATTTTATTTGCCACTTATCTAATTAAAGTAATGCCACTAGATATTGTTTCATTTTCATATAGTTTCACTGCACTCCTCCTATTTCGGCAACTATGTGCAACGGGCCGGTATCATCTCTCGTCATGAACACGTGGGGTTGAAATGACAGTTGTTTTATTATCTTATTATTATTTAATAGTTTTTTCTCACTTCCATCCTCGAAAATAAAATGCAAGATATAACTTTAGTAAAGGGGAAAATATTCTTTTTATATTATAATTAACAAAACTAAACTTTGCCATACATCGCAAATATTTTTTACGTACATGTATATAATTTTTCTATGTTTTACGACTTATGATAATCAAAGCTCCAAAACTTTGAGCTACAGTGCTATTTTTGAAATACTTATTAATTTGAGGGAAGAAAAATAATAACTACCGCGTATAAATACCTTGTTACCTGTCCACACCCGCCAGGTAGAAATATCCACACCCAGCTTTACGCTTGTGTAAACTATTAAACAATGAAGTGCAAGTATATACTCAGCCACAGATCGCAGTTTTATTTCCCGCTCCAATAAACACATGTCGCCCCTGCAATTTTTAGGAGCAACCAATCATAAATTATCGCCAAATTACAAACCAAAAAATACAGCTCTAACTTCGATAGCAGGTCTGAATTTTCGTCAAATTTTATAATCATTAAATTCAATGATTTAACATCGAAGCACAGTATAGTAATATTAAAGATTTAAGTGAATATATTTAATGTTCAATGTTACATGAAAGATAACCTTATTTTACCAAACCCTTATCTTTATTCTTTACAAAAATACTAGCATTAATTTATTAAAACGAGAATGTTTGGACGTACTGTACATGTGCTCCAGCATATTCAAAAAGTGAAGTAACGATCAATTTTGATAGCGAAGCATGCTATTCACTGATAAGTTGATGTTACAGGGATTTCTACAACCTCGTTTAAAGTCAGCATTTCGAAAACTCTAATGTCGTTATAATGACTTTTTTTTAGAATGTATGACTTATCGTTGGGTCGACTTTGGCTGACGTATTTCATATCTAAATGTTAGCCAGGTCCTTTTTTTATATTTGGTTTAGCTATGAAATGTATCCTTGATCAATTCAAAGAGCTAACAGCTGGCTGTCCGGTCAACAGGGATGCTTACTCCTCTAAGGCACCTGATACCACCTCTGGAATGTCCAGGGATCTGATTTGGACACTCTACACAGATTTGACTATGAAAAATTGGTTTAGATCGATCACTGTACATTACCTTAAGCTTTTACATTTCACTAAATATTTTTTTTTTATTTTTTCTATAATCGAACGCAATGCAATGCATATATTTTGATTTTTTACATTGTATTCTTATTTTTTTTTTAATATAGGAATATATCAACAATACAACTGTTGGACCAATTTCAGACTATTCCTTATTGATTAATGAGTATATTCTGGTCAGATAGTATCTCTGGGGTCAAAAGTCAGCATAGAGAACAAAACATCCATCCTTAACAACTAATTCCAATTAGCAGAGAGATCAAAGCATCCACCCTTAACAACTACGTTCAGTCAGCATAGAGACCAAAACATCCATTTTTAACAACTTATTCCAGTCAGAATGAAGACCATAACATCCATCCTTAACAATTTATTCCTTTCAGCATAGAGACCCAAACAGCCATATCCTTAACAACTAATTCCATTCAGCATGAAGACCAAAACATCCATCCTTTATAACAATGAAACATATGGAGATAACGAACAGTATTCAAGATCAAAAGTCGATAAAACAATATAAAAACAGACGCAGAGCAAATACGGACCTCCAAACCATCAGAGGTGGGATTAGTTGCAACGGAAGAGTCAATCTAATTAAAATCAGACTTCCTAGATCTGCTGCGGCGTATTCACTCTTCTTACACAGAGTTACGCAGGATCTAAGAAGTCTGATTTTAATCAGATTGTGGAAGAGGGAGAATCCCCTGCCGATAGGTCACACCCTCCGTGTGCTCATTGTCATGATCGGGAAATAACCGAAAAATCCGTCGTCCATTCACTGTATAAATAATGGAATAACAATTAGTATGAAAAACGTCAGTCAGTATTTGAATTATAAATTGTATTTGCTGACAAGGTTATTGTATCGACCATAGCACTTGCGAAATGATGACTTTAAACGAGACTGCTGATATTCTTGTTTCATCAACTTCTTTGCAATTAATTTACCTTGTTTTAGAAATTGTTCATACGTAGAGTGTGCTCTTGCGTATCGAATCAATTGAGATATATAAAATCCGTATGCAGGTGATGAAAGTATATTGCTGCATAAGTAAGGGAAGTTGACGATAGAAAAGTTAAAGTCATCACGTTTATCATAGAACTTGGTTGTTAGATTACCATTATGTCGACAAAATAGATAAACAATGGTTGGCAGTTTCTGTCCTGGCTTTATCAATTAGTTGTCAAAATGAATTACCAACACAATGATGTACACAAGGTATCAATACAGTGATGTACACAAGGTATCAATACAATGATGTACACAAAATGTATGTTGAATAATTGTTTTTCAAGTAAAATATATAAATATGAACAGTTTTGTCAGACTCTGTGGTATCTTTTATCTCAAGCTCAACAGGATATATCTAATCGACATAAGAATAAAAGTTATCATTGTTAATTGACAAAACGTCGTAGATATATCTAAATGTCGAATTGAAGGCCACAATAAGTAATGTCGAATTGAAGGCCTCAATAAGTGTTTTCTTCTTTTCAAGCATAAGATTTTGAACAAATTTTGCTTCATATGAATTTAAAAATAGGTCTGCTAATAGCGGGGCGCAATTGGTACCTATGGGATTTTCCAATATATATCCAAAAATAAAATAAATGTTGTCAATCAGAAACTCAAGGAAAAATTGAAAGAAATGTCGATATTTCTTCACAAAAGTGTAATATAATACAAACGTATATTTTAATGATGATCCCATCAAAGGTTTTGATTTCAATTATTTTCACCATGATAATTGATTTAAGGACTCCTGATTTTGTTTGTTTTTCTAAATAAAAATATTTGGAGTCCTCGGGACCTTCCCTCACCTGAGCCGCATTCTTAACAGACGCACGTCAAGGTATTTTCTCACCGCGC